AATTAAAACGTTCACCTTTCGTGACAAGTCGAAGTGTTCCGCAGACGTAAGAAAAACATTTTTATAATAATTTTTTTTTTTTTTAACATGCACAGTGTAATAAATCATCTTTGGGACACTCATTTATTCCGGAAACTACTTACTTTTTCGGGATACATATATATATATATATATATATATATATTTTTTAACAACTTATGAAACAAATAGCACTGAAATGTTAAATTATCATTATTTTTTGTTAGTCTGAGTTTTGAACGGTGAAAACAATACCTGTTCAATTTTGATTTGTAAATAACAACCTACATTAAAAATGCCATAAACAGACGGCATTTTAATTAAAATAATTTTCAACGCCAAACTCAAATATACGTACGCGCACTACAGAAAGTCAGATTAAATAGTTACTTTCTTTAGCTTTCTTTATTTTCGATGTCGTATAAGATACCCGTATCGTCGTCATGCAAAAGGTGAGACGGAGTGTGAAAAATAACCGATAGTATAAAAAATATCCCTGTACAAATTGCATTGCGTCCCTAAATATTTATATGAAAAATGCGTCCGAGTGATGTCGTATTAGCAACATTTTTTCAACCGCCCGACACGTTTAACTTGATTAAAATCGAAATCGAATCTAAATTTTAAGCTCAAAAAAAAAAAAAAGAGAAAAAAAAGAGGTTTTAATATGTTTTACCGTTTTTGTCGCTTATTATGTGACGGTGACAAATTATGCGTCCCGTACGTCGTTTTGAAAAAAAAAAAAAAAAAAACAAATAAATAAATAAATAAATTAAAACTATAGTTTCCGTGCATCAGGACGGACGGGAAAAAAGCTGTGTGTATAATAGGTAATTAGCTAATGTTTGTGGTACGTGTCGTTTTTCGTAATTTATTGTTTTACAGGAATTTGAATAACGTGGTAGGTACCCGTACAAGTACACAATATTAATCAGACTTTTTATTCTGACCGTACACGCAGTGAGCAGATTAAAAACAAATTAAATATTTACGGGTCCTTCCCCGTCGGGTATCCGTTTCACGGCCGTCCGCGTCCAACCGTGACGTCACGTCACCGCACGTACGGTCCCGAGGGTTAGTTTTCGGGAAACGCGGATGGTTTCGCTGAATCGGGAAAACATATTCTCCCCATTGTCGTACAACGGACCGTGTAAATCGAAATCGCTGGCCATTATAACGTCGTGGAACAATTGCCAGTGTTTTCGACTGAATAAACACTCGGGTAGTGAGGCATTTTTGAAATTTAATAACCGTTGTTCGCTTTCGTTTTCGTTTTTTTTTTTTTTTATCCCCGTTACCGTGATCCGAGAACAAAGGAGTGCGTGCGTCATGGGTACGGTGGGCACTTATACCATCGCACAATACGGGACTTTATTCAGCATGACGTATACGCGGTTTTCTTTCCCCCAAAATTAATTCTCATGCGCGCGTTGACCCGAAAACAATGCGCGCGGGCATGAAATTCGAATCGTTCCGGATTCTTCACCTCCGTGAAACGCGTTAAAAAAAAAAAGTAAATACGAAAATAAACCTTGCGCTGCTGGTAGCGGTCGATCGATCGCGGCGCTAAAGGATTTCGACGTGACGGGGTCGGCGGCGGTACCGCACCGCGCGAGGGGAACAGGACCCGTCGAACACAAGGGCGAGAGGTGTTGAACGCGAACGGGAATATTTTCTCGCGGCAATGTTTCTAAAGATACCCGGACAATCGTGCGAAATCCATTCGCCATTGACGGGTGTTCCAACACATTGTTGTACGTCACAATGAATGTCCGTTATAAAATGCAATTTTCCGGAATTTATTAATTGAAATGTCCGAACAAAACGTCTCTGATGAGTATTGTCTCGTAAAGTTTATCGGAGTTGCAATTTTCCTTTCGCCCACTGCCAGACAAATATCTCGGGCACTAGCTTGGGGGATACGATGCGAGAAATCATTCGAATTGTTCACCTCCCCGTCTCCGTATCCGGAGCTGTGTCGAAGTAAAGACTTGAGTACCGAGTAAATATTATTCGTGTGAATCCGACTGAAACTCGTCTATTGTATTACTGTCATAAAAGAGTTGTTATATTGAGTTATCACGGAGTAAGCGCAGTGTGATAAGATGCTATCGGAATATAATTACGTTTTAAGTTTTCAACCGACGTTTGGTAAACCATTTTGAATTTCGGTTATTTAAAAGATTTTCCTCGAAATTTGAAATTTAAAATCACAGAAAAAAACAGCATTACACTAAAATTTTTCAGATCAAATTTCTACTCAGCTAAAACATTAAATTTTAATCACCTAAAACCAAATGAAAATGCAAAAGTATCAAAAATGCGTATAAATATAAATAGCTCAAATATTTCCAGAAAGCTTAGAAAATGTAATGTTGCTCAGAAAAAGCCAATAAAGTATTTTGAAGAGTTCCCTATTTCGCATAAAGTTACAATATGAATATGGGTAGGATGTACATAAAGGTTCTGAGGACGCGAGTAGAGATACAATTATAATAGGTCATAATAGGTAGCATAATTAGTCGTCTTAATTTTGGTTTTGAAAGTAATAAAAATGACGAAATGATAAAATTAACCAAAAATCAATATAAAAATCTTATAATAATTAAAATTAATATAAAAGAAAAATAAGTACAACCGTTGTATTCACTGTGATAATGGATGTTAATCTATATCCTATAGATTGGTCTATAATACTATATTTTGGATATTGAAAAAAATGCAAACATATTAAACTTATGTAGAATTTTATTTCATAATATTATTATAAACATATTTTTCTGGCCAAAAGCAAATCTTAATTAAAAAGTGTGGTTAGTTTTAGATCGAAATTTATATCATTTTGTATAGTTCGGTGGCAAGATTTCTAGAAGAAAAGATGTTCCCGGATATCGAACATAGAAAAAAAAAAATTGCACATATAGTAAAACCAATATAATCCTCGTCGTGTTCAGAATATATAATATTATTTAAGTGCATACAAAAAACATTATCAATAGCACGACGCTCGGGGAATCGTTTCGTTCGCATAACAACCAAGTGTTACATGAAAAAAAAAAAAAAACGAAATTAAATTTACTTAAACCCTTGGACGACGGGATCAGAATACATGAAATAAATCGTAGAGAATTGACGTGACTATACGAGAGAATACCTACGTGACTAAAATATTACGACGGTCTCACCGGGGGTTGAAAAGAAAAAACCTAAAAAATAAGAGTAAAATTCACGTGAAACGTGTTAAGGAGATGAGATCCCGGGAACTTGGCAGAATCGCAATTCGTAACATCGTTTCGATTTTTCTTGGCATTCCAGCTATGTTATTTTAACAGACCGTCACATAGCCTACATTAAAGTCGACCTTGCCAAAAATGCTGCTAAATTTATGTAAATGACACGGGCTTAAAAACAATTCGCATTGAAATATCGTATAGAGTTCAAGAAGATTGGAAACCGATATTCAAACCTGGGCCGTAAAAGCCATTTAAAAAATTAAGTTATTTTATTCTTTTATACTTTAAGACACGATTTTTTTTTTTTCGAAATCAATTATATGTATTTAAATTTGAATTGCATCATGTTATACTTGCCGTTGAATGCCTACTACACAGATACGAGTATTATATAAAACAATTATAGTGGCTTACAGTGTAAGCCTTACACCAATAATACAATTCCAGTAAACAATGATATGATTGTTTTGTTTGTTTTAATTCTACTAGTCAATGTAAAAGAATATTATTTGTTCGGAGCACAAAAACGTCGTTGTTTTCGTTGTTATAGGGGAATATCGTCACTTATATCGTCCGACTTTCTGTATTATTACACTATTATATGTCTTTAATTCATACGATATTATTGTAATAGTAACTGTAATTGAACATAAAAATATATTCAACGCGATTTGGCAATGTGATCGGTACAACATTATATAGGTCCGGTATATGACCGAAGCATCATTGTTGGAAAGGAAGAGGGGAAATTCAATGTATAGATATACGCCACAATTAACCATTAATTATTTTCTCGGGTTGTCCCTGTTTTTCGCCATTTATTATGAAAACATCCGGGAATATTAAAAAACGACTTTCGGGTATCGCAACAATCAGAATCAATTCCAGAAAAAGTACTACGATTGAAAACTAGGGCCACATCATTGCTGGTAGAAAAGTTGGTCACAGTATTTTTTTTGTTTCATAAGTAATTTATTATAGAATTCAGACAAAAATCGTAAATATTAGTTCCTTTCAAAACATGTATAAGCGAATTCTGCTTAGAATCGTTTTTCTTTAACAATGATTAATCGTTGCGTACGATTGATACGTGCAGATATATATGATCCCTTCTGTATCCTACTTTCCCAGTTTCTATAAAGCCCCGCCCGTCATGCGAAGTATGTCCGTATTTTATTGTTGCGATTCAATGAAAAATATTCTTAGAGATTTGTAATTTTGACAAAAAACTCATGTTTTCAAAATGTTCAAATATTTTAACGATTGTTGAACTATTTATAATAATCTTGTACTTAAGATTTTTTTTTTTAATTAGTTTTTATTATGTAGGTATTCTGCGGTTAATATAACGAAAAATTATATTTTCGATTCGGACTGTCCATTTCCGCTACCCACCCGACCGTCGCCGGCACGGGCAATTAAACGGAGAAAAAACTGCCGTCGCGGCGATACACCGGTGTCGTCGTTTTACATGCATTCCCGGTACCAAGAACGTCTCTGTCCGCAGTCAAAATCCGTGTAACATTGAAACGAAATGCGACTCAAGGTCAACGTTACACGTTGAGACATCGAAAATCCATGCGAGCGTACCTACTACAGTTACGCGCGCGGCTGCTAATTTAGAAAATCCGTAAAACTCCTACGTAAAAAAAAAAAAAAAATAAAAAACGGACGCATTTACAAACTAACCGGTTTTAAGTTGTTTAAGATTAGGATCGATTTAAAACGGTGTATTCAACAGAGAAACGTTTATACGGCGTTACCGGTTTTGTTGTTTTTCGAATTTTCGGTCTCCGCTTCCGCTACGCAACCGACCGTCGTGGTGTACCGCCCTAGCCCGCGTGCGCGGCTGCCGCACCCCGCGGGACTGCTGTACACCGAACGGCGCTGCGGCGCTTCCGACGCGTCCGTCGACGCGTTTCGCATGTGCCCCTGGTACCCAAAACGCGTTTGCCCGCGTTTCCGCGTAAACACGAAAACGAGATTCGGTCCAACGCGTGGGCCGGTGCGCGTCGACGTACGCCGGTACGCGTCGTCGTTCCACAATATGCGTTCCTGGTATGTCCATAAACGTCTCTGCATGACGTCGAAAATCATTTTCACCGCTCTCGCGTCGCACCGCGTGGCGTTCTCGTGGTTACGAGGGAACGGACAGAGGCGTTGGCTGCGCGCAGACGCGTCTCGGGTACCAGGGGCGCACGCGGAACGACGACGTCGATACACCGCCGCGGCGGCGGCAGTTTCCGTTAACCGCGCAAATGCGAAAACGAGACCCCGTCCGAAAGGGCCGGTACACGTACACCGAATATTGCGGCGGCGCACCGCGGTCGTCGTTTCACATCGATTCCTGGTACATCCGAAACGCCTCTGTACGACGTCAAAAATCATTTTCACCGCTCTCGCGTCGCACCGCGTGGCGTTCTCGGGGTTACGAGGGAACGGACAGAGGCGTTGGCTGCGCGCAGACGCGTCTCGGGTACCAGGGGCGCACGCGGAACGACGACGTCGACACACCGCCGCGACGGCGCGGAGGCGGTCGTCGACGTCAAAATCATTTTCATTTCCCAGGCATGATCCGACCGGCCCGGGGAAAATAGAATCTAGCGGTCCGCGTGATCATATTATCCAAGAACCGATAAAAAAAAATCACCTCAACCTTGAGTGCACCAATACCCGGACTCTTTTTTATTTTTTTGTTAAAAAAAAAAACTTTAATTTTACATTATTCCAATTTTAATCAAAAATGTTTCACACAAAATGTAAATGTGTAGTTGCTTAATAATATAAGCGTCATGTTAAGGGGTTTGAGGGGCATTGTCCTCGTGGGTTTGTGACGTGTCTCTAATTTTAGCATCCCCAGATTTGGTGGTCTAGTTGCGCCCATATATATGCCAAGTGAAAACGGAAAGGCAAAAACAGAATGTACGACATGTAAAAACAAAATTTCACTTTAACGTCTATGTTTGATAACTGAGTACCTACGATCGACGTGTAGGCATTAATTTAATAAATATATTTGTTGATGACATCAGCCGTGAGTCAAACTCAAAAATAATATTCAAGTTCTAGGGATGGTGGTCAGTTAATAACGCCACCCCGTGATTGCTGCTTATAAATAAAGTGGACTAGGAGTTCAAATAATAATTCACAGTAGTGATACAATGATAATTTTTATGATTTAACCAGACCAAAGTATTTTTTTATTATTTTTTATTAATTTTAAATATTCGTGTTAACACGAATTTAAATTTTTATACAATAGCCAATAACAGTATTTGTAATCGGTTCATTTTCGTTAATATAAGTAGTGGCCCACTTGGAAAATCCCAGTGTCCCGGTGGGCCTACCCGCCCCTCTCGTTCCCTGGCGTCGTTAACCCTGTATATTTTTAAATGTGTTTTTTTTTTTAACTAAATACTGAACTAGATACTTCAATTAACTATAATTAATATAACTACTTAAGTAGTTATAAAATTAATCATAAGCAAAGTCGGGGGCGCCAAAATGTTGTTGCCCATGGGTGCCAAAATCATAAATACTGTCCTGAGTAGACTATATTTTTTTATGATAGCATGCTAATTTTGTGATGGCGCTATATGTAATTCTATTTTAATATGATATTCTGGATTTCTGGTCTATTTTTAGGAATTTGATATTTTCAAATTTGTTTTAGTTTTTATATAGTAGATATTCGATTAAAATTTCACCTCAAGAAAAAAAAAATATTGTCAATTCAAACGAGTTTTATTTTACGTTATGGAAAGTTTTTAAAAATAAAAATGTGAAAAAACGTAATGTAGTGGTTTTGTCAAAAAAAAATTTGTATAAGATCAAATCTTAACGAACATTGTAAAACTACGACATTTCAAAACTAATAATTGTTTAAAACTATTTTTTACGAGCAATGGTTCATAGTTGCGTACAGATATTAAATAACTTTCTATATTCTACATTTTCAACTTCCCATCAACAACAGTAGAACGCCCAATGGCGGATTAAACGATATGTCACCTACAAGCTAAAATAAATTCGCTTCTTCTTTATTACCAAAAGGTTTTTTTTTTTTTTTAATCATAAAAAAATATAATATTTAATACTTTAAAATAACAGGTAGGTAGGTTTAACCTTTTATATGTTCGGTATAAATAATAATTAATACAAGTAAGATAAAGTGTACAAAAAAATACACATAGTCACAGTATGAACTCTAATTTATTAAAATCATTGTCTTAAATATTAAAATCCTTAAAGTGAGATATTTACATTTTAACAAAATAAAACAACTGTAAATTATTTCACATAATATTATGATTTATAACTAGAAAATTATTAAAAAAAATGTATGTGAAAACAAAAATAAGTTTTAAATTTAAATTTGGAGCGAAGTTCTAGTTTTAAAAAGATGTTTATTTTTTTTTCGCGCAAATTTCTACCAAATACTATGCATAGTATTAATACATTAATAAAGTGATTGATTCTTATTTCATTAATCAATTGATCGAACGAATGAATTTATTATTTATTTATTAATTCACTTACCGCGTCTATTGTTTGTTTTTGGTGGTAGTAAAATATTGACCTAATCAATTTGTATTCCAAAAATTAAGCTAACATACACGTTTTAAATTTATCTGGTAAATTAAATGTATCTAATTCTATTTTATGCAAATTCTCGTTTCTTGGTTATTACAGTGTTCAACAATTTAAAAATGCCTTGTATAGTTTAATTTTTGTAGCTCGTTCTTCTGTGGATAACTATAATAAGTGGAAGTTTTAATCGTTTACATTTGATGAACTACAGTAGAAGCCGGAATAGCAGACGAATAAACGTATAATATACACCATAGCAGATAGTCATGCTCTTGCCTTTTTGCCCATGCCTAATTACGGCCCCGCTACTAATGGCACTACTAAAACAGACTAAAATAGTGCGTGACAAATTATGTGCGGCGTTTTAGTATTTCAATAAGCACAAATATTTATAATTTGTATTGCCGAAATATTCCATGCATTGTATAACGTCCGGTCAGTGTTTATGATGTTTACGATTTTTCCACTTGAACCGTTACATATACACCTGATGGGCTAGATCATTTTTCTCGAGTTTTCGACAAAAATGTACACCTAAGTGGTGTTCGGTGTATGTTGAGATAATATAATTTATTCTCGTGTTGTCAAAAAATGAATTCATAATTTAATACTGTTCTCATGTTTATTTTATGTATGCATATTGTGATGACAGGGTATACTCTAGGGATTTTTACCTGAGGGTCGTTTCCACAGTATTCCGGTGAGTCACTCAACTCGTCCTAGTTTTCAGCACTGTACGAGACAGCGTATTCGTTTAAGCTCTCGAAATAATCATATTAATAATAATATTTGTTTATTTATCGCCGGACTTTGGCATTGCCCCACAGCTACATATATACCCGATAAATACCAGTACTCAATTATCAACAAGTTGATTCGCATGTTTTGCGTAACAAACCAAACAAGCATTTGTTACAATAATAATATTAACTTACATATTTTATAAAAAAAAACATATAGGGTTTCGGAAATCGTCCGCGGCTGCGGTCTCACATGTTGTTATTATAATAATAATAATATTATTATGATTAGGCGGAACATTTTTATTATTATCATAATAACATTTGTATTATTTATTATTCCTTATTTGACTTAAATACAGGTGAGTTTTTTTTTTTTTTTTTTGTTTTTGTTACAATACAAATAATTTTTTGCAAGAATTTTAAGTAAGTTTGATTATAATTTTTTTTCCTAAACATTTATGATATATTTAAATTTTATTTTAATAGTATTTGAGATTCTGAGTAAAGCGAAGAAGCTTATGATTTTATAAAGATGTTTATTATATTTTTTTTTTATTTGTGCGCAATTTTTCTACGGGAAATCTTGCACTGATTTTTAAGTGTACCACGTCTTCTGAAAGATAATCGGCATACGAAAATTACTGGGAAGGTATTTTAGGAGGTTATTTTTTGGTTATCTTAGGAGTTTTCCCAGCAAATGTAAAAAACCGGGAAAAAAACATGAGAAAAACATAGGAAAACCGGTAAAATCGGTACAACATTAAATAAATATTATTTTTAGAAAATATTTATAAATTTATAGCCTATTTTATTAATTTATTATATTATGGCGTATATATTGTTAAAAAAGCATTATTATCAGTTGAACTCTGATCATAATCGTTTTTTTTCGTGATCAATGATTTATGGTTGCTAACGGGTATACACTAAATTACCTATAACAATAGCTGCACCGGTCCCCATTATTCTAAGACATCTTTTTCCTCTTACTTGTTTATAAATTATTTTTCATGTATTCTAATAGGTGCTGAATAGGTGTATATTGAAGTCAACAGTTTTACAATAATCCTTTAATCAAATTATCGATTCATTTAAATTAAATTATTTTCACTAATAATTTAGTGCCTGAATTTTAAATTACGAAAAAAAAAATTTAACATGTACATTTTATTTTACCTCAAATTACTTATTTTCACTTTATACACACCGAAAACTGGGGGTATTCTATTATCCCACCTCGATTATTATTGTGACTCACACTATAAACATTTTTCAAGGAATGTTAGAGTACTATAGGCAAAATTGTTGAAAATAGTTTCATGATTATTAAGATAAATAATTTGTCTAAAACGTATATCACATTTTCTCATTCCGATTTTACTGAAAACCAATGGGAACCTTCTTTAAGCCTTACTAATCGTTTATAGATAACCACAATTAATTATTAAGTAGCTTACACGTATTTAATAAAAACAAAAGTTAATTTATATATAAAAAAACAATGAAAACACACATAAAATATTAATCACTAATCGCCATATATTTAAGTAATATTCGTTTAAAAAATAATTAAATTAAAGTTGAACATAATATAGGTTATAAACAAGCTCAAAATTAGGTATATTCGAGTAAAAAATCGTAATTAAAACCTTGTTCTGTTCGCTAGACATTTTTAACATAACTGAACATTATAACGGTAAATGTTACGTGCCACGAAAATTGAAACATTTATCGATATAAATATTGATTAATATTGTTGAACGGTGTATGTGTGTGAATTTATATATAAATTAATAATAATAATGATAACGATCGAATAATCTATGCGTATATATCTATCGTTATCTCATTTTCGACCGAAATAATCCACCGTAATTGTGTAATACTATAATAAATACAACTATGCGGATGGATACAATGGGGATATCGGCAGCTATAGGGTTCTAAAATTATGTTTAGAAACCCAAAATAATTTTCCTCGAAATTGTCCGATTACGGTCGGATTGTCACTATACCCTGTGTATATGTTATATTTTGTATTGTCACGGGATCGTA